ATTTTATTTGTATCAATATTCTAAGGTGACTGGTGCGATTCGGGAATTTTTTGATGTGCTTTTATGTCTTTTTCTTGATTTAATTTTGATATGTTATTCGTATCGATATTCCAAGATGACTGGTGCAATTTCAAAAATTTTTGAGGTGTTTTTATCTTTTTTTTCTTTATTTTTATTTTTTTTGTTTTTTACTACTAGTTAACCAGTTTCACTGTTGTATTGCTGTTTTTAGCTACTTTGGTCTTGTTTTACTGTTTTTTGTTGTTTTTCTACGGCTTTATCAATATTTTGCTGTTTTTTTCTGCTGCATTGCTGTTTTTAGCTGGTTTGATGTTGTTTTTACTGGTTTTTGATAATAGTTTACTAGTTTTTTTTTTGTATTGTTTTACCAGTTTCTTTTTCCTATTTTTCAGGTGCTTTGATGTTTTTTTTTTGGAGTATTTTCTGCTAGTTTTGGTGCTGTTTTTCTGCTGATTTACCAGCATTTTTGCTGGCTTATTATCAGTTTGAAGTGTTAATATGCTCAAGGTGGAAAAATGAAGAAAAAATAAGCCAAAAAATAAATACTCGGGGGCAACTCATAGTACTTTTTTATTGCACTTAACAAACTTAGATACGTTTAATACAAGAAATTCAAAGCGAGATTAATACAACATAAACTTTTATTGCACTTAACAAACTTAGATACGTTTAATACTAGAAATTCAAAGCGAGACTAATACAAATAAATGACTACTTCACTATGACTTCACTTTCTCATCTTCTCTCTTTCCAATTGCAAGAATTCTTGTTGCTCTTGTGTAACCATGACATTAACTTCTTCTCCTGTTGCTTTTCTTTTGTGTAACGATCTTCAATTTGTGCTTTGAGACCAATCTTTTTTCATGGAAGTGGATCTCATAAATTGGATTGACGTTAGGCTCTTTTTCTTTCTGGTTGAAATAGTCATAATTTTGATTCCTACAATTAAAAAGGGAGAAGATATTCTTAGTTAGCCGTTATAAAACTCATAAAGAAAAGAATATTAAAGAATACAAACAGGTAGGTCACTCGATTTTTGCTACAAATATAAAGAAGCTGAAGGCTTATATCCCCATTCTGCTATCTCTCAAGTACCCTATCATGTTGACGATATATTTAAACCAACAATTTTATCATTCTCATCTTTTACTACAACAATTTTCGTGACAAACTCAAATTTACATCATTTAATTGGATTTGGTGAATCACATTATGCAATGCATCAATGTTCGATTGTCAAAAATGGTCTGTTAAGTGTCACATTCTACAATGCTTCAATTGAAAATAACTCATCGCAACTTTGAAGTAGCTAAATTTACTTTAGAAGGCCATGAGACCTGAAAATTCATATGCAATATGCCTTCAATTCCTTTCCGACATTTTATCAAATAAGTAAGGTACATTTAACATTGCCATAGTTGATCTTGGCCATGGTTATTGCTACTTGTGCTTAACAAATATAATAGTTCTTTCGAGACGATAAAAATAACAAAAATAAAAACTAGCATCCTAACCTTTCATAAAGTCCATCTCTTTCAATTGGAGCAGATTATTTTTCTGCTTGAAAGCATAAAAGAAAGTCCAGATATAAGGATGAAGACAATAGAATATGGAGATTTTGGGGGAAGTCACCTGCTTGACATATTATTTCAGCTGTTAGTTTTTTAACAGAAGGATGATTATTGCTAAGTTTAGGATAGGTAAAGGATATTTTTTGTTCACATTTATATCATAAGGATGCATCTTAAGTTTGGGTTATACTTCAGAGATGATTTTAGCCCAAAACTCTACACCTACCTGCTCTTGAATATATGAAATACTGAGGCTGATAGATATGAAAGCATTCTAAGTACTCAGACAAGAAGTCAGAGGGTATTTGAAATTTCCGTACTGTAATTTTGGTATCTAATTTTTAAAATTATTATACCATTATAATATCAATTTAATTTGGTATGATTCGATATTTTAAAGTTTGGTTTCAGTATTTTTCGGTATGGTAAATTGATAACCATAATTTGTTTAACTTCGATTGACATATACTCGTATGTTAGAGTATTATGACTTCGACTATTTAAAAAAAGTCTCAATTGTATCATACTAACACATTACATATGTAGAAATATATATTTAAAAGAATGTACAAACAACTAGGAATACTTTGTTACTCAATTACATTTAAAATACATTTCATATATATTATTATTATTATTATTATTATTATATAGTAACTTACTTATTTATTGAGTCAATTCATTTTGATTCGATCAAACTCAATCCTATTTTTCAGACTTAGTTGTGAACAATTCAGCCAGTCTAGGAGGACCACCTCTCCTACTCTCAATACCCTTTTGCCTTTCACTTTTTCTTTTTTGCTCTTAATTTGAAAAAAAAATGAACTAGACTATTTCTAGATCTCCTTCAAAGAAGGATCTAATAAATTTTTGTGAGTACTCCAAAATTAGATACCATGTCGTGTAAAGGAATGATTCTGATTTTATTTTCTCTTAAATACTTAAGTATAATATGAACAAGTGCATTTCAACTAATCTACAACCCCAAATATTTCACCTAACAATTTAGGAAGTGATTGTACTTTTTGTTTGCAGGCAAATAAACATAGGATCATCACCGTAGTAGAATTATTGGGAGGGGTTGTTGAAGTCAAACTTCCAATTAATGCTCTGATGGATATGGTGGTCAAGGTCTCTTTTTTCAAGAAGATCTGCCAAAAGAGTATCTAAACATAATATTATCCGTTTGGACAATATTTTATGGAAGTTAGAAAACCACTCTTAGAAGAAAGTAATAAATAAGTTCACTTTTACTTGTTTATTTTAAAATTTGCACGATTATTAAAAAATAATGATTGATACGACTATTTTATTATAATATACATATTACTAATTGATATTGAGTCTTAAATTTTGAAAAATAATTTAGAAATAAGTAATTAATGATGAGGTTACAAAAACATGAAAAAATAAATATTCTTTTATATGTTAAAAGTGAAAAAGTGACAAGTAAAAGTGAAATATATTTTTAGTGTAGTGAACAAGTAAATGTAAACGGAAGGAATATATACTCTCTCTATTTCATTTTACTTTACTCATGTTGACTTGACATAACTCTTAAAATAACTTTTATTAGGGGTATATTTTACTAAACTAATCTTATTAATTTATTGTGTCTTGAAACTCTAAGTTTACGTTTGGATATGCGCTATGAAGTCATGATTTCAAATCACAATTCTTCAAAAAACATGATTTGAAATTCCAAATCATGATTTCAAACTTTTTTAAATATAAAATTTGATCCATAAGTTTATATTTTGTAAAACAAGACCCATCATATTAAACTTTGCAAGAAAAAATATGACTTATGCGTGAAAATATTGTTTGTATCGTGTAAAATGATTATATTAAAGAATAACTAGTTACTACTGTTGTTGACTAGTAGATATTTGTAAAATTGAAAGTTTATAATCGTAAATATTTATTTATAAAAAAATGGAGATATGTGATTTATCAATGCGGCATCATATGATATTCCGATATCTTGTTTATGAAAGGTTTGTTCATTTAATAAAATTGTGTAAGAATTGGATAAAACTTGATAGTTCTCACGACTTGTGGGATTTTTATGTTTATAAAAAAAATACAATTTAAGAAATTCAAATTGCGTATCAAATATTATTATTTGACTCAAAATAATAATAATAATCTATTCTAATATAGGAGCCAAGTAATAAAGCTCTCCTAATTTGCTAAAATGGATAAGTAAAAAGTAAATTTTACTTTTATATTTAAACATGATTTTTACTTGAAGGAAAAATTGTTGGTGAAAATTATTACTCATTTGGTTTGAAATGATCCTCAATATGTGTAGTATTTCATGAAAATGTTGGTAATATATTTAAAACCCATATTTTACATTTTTGTTGGGTAAGATGTTATTGTCTCACCCC